TGTTGCAGCGATTGGACACGGGTCACAACCCGAATGCTTCTCGAGCTAGCAATTGTCACGAGCCCAAGACGAGTACCTACGCAATGCTCGGGTCCAATTTATGAACCGCATTCAAATATCGTCACTTGGGTGTACTGCGATCCCCGAGTTACGTCATCAAATTTTGCAAAGGAGAGATTGAATGAAAATTATCGCTTTTGTCCTTGAAATTACACCGCAACAAAGGAGTTTCTTGGCCAATGGCGTTGCGTGTGAGTATCCTTGAGTCCCAGGTGTGCCAGTAAGCTCGTGTAGAGAGAAAAACATTACAATGGAATATCGTTGCACAGCTCCTTTAAAATGATGGTTGTCAGTTATCTGAAGCTTTATCTGAAAACACAGGAAAAGCTTTTCCGTCTTCCACAAATGTTCAAGCTGTTTGCGACAAAGTAAATTGCAATAATAAGTGAGCTCCCTAACACAGAAAGTAATGCTGAGAATTCGCACTTCTGAATCATGACGATCGGTTGTTGCGTTTGCTTTGTACTAACCACCAAGATGGCGGCGCGCCACAACAATATCGGGTAAAAAGAGTGCCAATACTCTAAGCGTATCTCATTTGGTTTAGCTCACTAGGCTAAACTAGAGCCACTAATGAGCTTATTTAGTGTCTCTAAGTTAAACCAAGTCGGTGGGGAATCGTTGATCGAGTGTATTGTGGCACGTGAAAAAAGGCCTGAGCGCGAGCTCCATTTAGAGCACGGAGATCACGCTGCAGATTTTGTATGAACTAAAGCCCCTCGATGTGTTTGCGTTGGTCTTTCAAGTAACGCCAAGTATGCCAGTGCACGAAGCCCGTGTCTCGAGCGGCCCTTGGAGGCAAATGGCGGCGCAGCACTAAAATGTCTGGCCCTTGGAAGCGAATGGCGGCGGAGCACCCGTTCGTGGGACGTGTCTTGCGCGTTTCCACAACAATGGTTGGCGGTACTTGTAAAAAACGCCTTTATCAAGGGGCTTTAGCAGGGACCCTGGGTTCTGTCGCCCACCTGCATCCTACCGTCATGCGATCGTGTATCACATATACTGCGTGATGCACGTTAAAGACCCCGAGCTAGCAGTTGTACTGCACTGGTTAAATTTATAATCTACAACGGGTAACAATGTCGCCCTACGAAACTCCTGCTCTTTAAAAAACTAACGACTAAGTTTGAATGCGCCGTTACATAGTATTTTTAATGTGTGTACGCATGTTCGCGTGCTTCTTTTTTTTTTTTTTTTTTGTCTATATCTTTGAATAGAAGGCTCTTACTTATGAAGAAGCAGACTATAGTTGTCAGATTCTGGAAAAAAATATTATATAACTAAGAAAATTGCATGTTAACGCAAAAAAAAAAACATAGACGCACTTAATAAAAAAAAATAATAAAATGGATTATAATTGCGTTTCAAAATGTTTGAGCGCCCTAAAAGCTCTAAAAGCGAGCTCCATGTTTTGAACGGTGCGCTTGTTCACTGGAACAGTAGTTCAGGGCAGCATGCTCGCGCTTGTATGTCCCGCTTCGCTCGCACGATAAAACCAATACTTTACTGGTAATGTGTTTAGTGAAACAAAGCTTACCTTCTGTTTATGTGCAATGCTCTCAGTTTTCACGTGATGACAGACTTGTTTATTATTATTGTTTTCGTTTCCAATTGCAATTTGTATCACATTTAAACTACTGTCATCTAATATGGGGCACCACGACAAAAACAAATCTTCATAAAATATTTTTATTGCAAAAAAGGGCGATACGACTTGTGTGCAGTGTACCCCGTGACTTTCACACGGACCTAATTTTTGCTAATCTGGGGATAATGAAAATACATGAATATTACAAATATAGACTTGCCACGAAATATAAACAAGAACATACCCAGAGTAAAAGTTTCTTATTTGACTTGGCTTCCCTCAGAAAAAAACCGCAAACACATACCCTTCGTCACCCTGACCCTTGGATAATAGATACATCGCGTACTGACTACGGCCTTCAGATGATTGGAAGAACCCTGCCTTCATTGCTCAACACTTTCTCGCGTTCCAATGTTGATATAGTATCTTTAACCTCACGTGAGACCCGCGAATATTTTCTTTGGAATAATGTCGTGTTCACTTTTTTTGTATTTTTCAAGTCCATTTTCTTCATTGTTGTGTGTGGCTGATATCTTGTTGGCATTTTCGGCCCAGTGTTTGCTTTTCTTCCTTTTTTATAGTTTTTATTCCTGTTTTGCATTAGTGGACTTCTTTGCTTTGTATAATTTTTGCTTTGTATAATTTTTGACACCGCTGTGTTCCTGTGAGGGGGCTGGGGACCAGTCAAGCTCCTTGTAAGCTTTTTTCCCCAGCTCCCACCATATATACATGCATATGGTAAATAATCTATTATTATTATTATTATTAATTCAGCTCGTGTTTTTTGTGTGCTACATGGATTAGAGACCAGGGTAACCCAGGAGTATTCTATTTCGCGGATTGCAAAAACCTATGATACTTGAAACGTGTGCCACAATCAATTCAAAATATTCTAACCTTCAGATGTGGCCGCTTGCGTAAGTAAGCAATGTTGTTTGTCAAGAACAACTGCGATTGTGCGAAATCACCTCGGAATAACTCGTTCTAAGCACGCGACCGTTGGCATGCAGTGAATACTCATAATCGGCGACGAGATGATTGGTAGCTGTCAGCGGGTGGAGTTTTTCTACCAACCCAGATTGGGAATGTTTCCTTCTTTCTGTTGTAGGCAATCAGGAGACAACTTACACCTCATATGAGGGTGATAAAGTACTATTAACATTCAAACATTATGGCCTGAGAAGTATATATGTACAAGTTTTAGCTTTCGATGCACCCTTAACTTTCGATATGCTCATTGCTAGTGTACAATGTAGGGCTTTTTCATTCTTAATCAGCGTACCATGCGGGTGCTTGCACTATATTTTATAAAATGTCAAACTCTACCCCTTTGCATCTTTTTGGAATTTTGGCTCGGCACTACTTGCGCGCATAAATCACCAAATTAAGGCTTGTGTATTGCTTAAACGCAGCGCAAAAGCCATCCACAGACCCAGAATCTTTGCCTGGCCAGTCAATGCATTTATCACTGAACCCGTATTAAAAATAATTTTTATCATTTATTGCTGCGAGTTAATTTTTAACCTTGGCACTCTTTTATTATGACTCCCTCACCAGTCCTGCTTTTGGTTTACCTAACTCAATATCTAAACCTGAGTGCCATTTTTTGTGTTTTCCAGTCTCGTGGTTTCTAGCAAAATAAAAACCCAGCTACTCAAATAAGACACCTGACTCCCCAAAAATATTTCATTTGTTTTGATTTTTTAGGTATTTAATTCCTCAAGCTAGAAGTTTGGAAAACTAAGTCTATCACGTCATCACGTTTTCCTGGAAATCCACAAAGAGACAAGCACATGCACGACAAAAGAGCCAGCCCGTCATATAAATCTGATCACATTGAAATATGTGCAATTGGCCTCCGAAACCTCCGCGGGAGGCTAACGGCGCACAAGCGTTTTTATATTTTTCAACGCGTCGGTTCTTTTGTTGTGAATGGGCCTCGCCATTTGGCTCAGGACAGAAAAAGACGACGAAGTGTTCCCACGCCGAAGCACATTCTCATCGCTCTCCAATATTTAGTTAGATAGCTATTTTTAAATTGAACCTACCGATAGTGAGGTCACCCACCATCGACCTGAACGACGCCATGGCCACGGGGGACGGGGGTCAACCGCCCCCCGATCACCAAACGGCATCTGTCAGCGGCTTGGTCCTTTCACCTGCGACACTCCAAGCTCTATCTCAGCCACCTGCGTTACTGAATGGCAAGTACACAAACGAGGACGGATCTTTGACGCCTGAAACTAAAATGTGTATCGACTCCCTGACCCCCGGACAACAATTTCCTAATTTTACTGACACAGAAAATGGCTCTACCACAGATGACGAAGGTTTCACTCTCGTGAAATACAAGAAGGCAAAGAAACGGTGTCATGAGGCCAAGTCACTATCCTCGAGCAGCAGTACGATCATATCTGTGGGCTCAAAGAAATCGTCTCTTACTGTCATCTTCATGCCAGTAGACCAAACAAAAGTGATCACCAAATTAAACCAACTAAGACTGTCAGAGCTGCTTGAGTCGAAAGCGCCCGGCTCCATAATTCAGATCAGACCGAACTACAGGCTCAACTTGATATCTGTCGACATACGAAATAGTGACGGCCTGTCATCTCTCCTGAAGGTGACCTCTCTGTTGGGTATCTCTGTCAGACCCTTTGAGCCCCGTTCTCAAGCCCAGGCAACTGGAGTCATCAGAGGAGTCGACACCAACATCGACAGTGCCGAAATTCATGCACAGCTAAAGGCCAACAACAACGCATCTGTTACATCGGTTCGTCGAATGGGTACGTCCACCACAGTAGCAATAACTGTCTCGTCGTCAAGACTTCCTGAATACGTTCTCCTCGGTCTAGTACGTCACAAGGTAGAGCCATTTTTGGAAAAGCCAGTTCAATGCCATCAATGCTGTCATTTTGGGCACGTTAGGTCTACTTGCCGTAACTCTCCAACGTGTTCACGTTGCGCCGGACCACACCAGCGAAATGACTGTGACGCTGATACAACGACAGTTCGGTGCTGTAACTGTGGTAAAGAACACGAAGCGACATCGCATCAATGTGCAAAATGGAAACATGAGTTGGAAATGCGCCACCAAAGACAAGAAGCTGGGAGCACATCACCCGCTAAACCTGCCCAGGAGACGGTCGACAGTGCTCTTGAACAAAACAAACCTGCCCTACTAGATCCTCAACGCGACGCGCGAATCCATAAGAACACAAAGTCGAACACCGGCTCCACTGGCTACAATGAGCAAAAGACGACAAATACTTCTATGAAGGACAAAGCCTCGTCTCAACAAGGACGCTCGACTGATGTTCCTGACTCCCGAAAGCATACCCAAGGCCGGTGGCAAATGCCTCAAAGACAACCTTACAAAGACGCGCTGGTAGGAACGTCACCAAGAAAACAAGAGTCAAGACCTGAAAAAGACCCTCCTTCTTCGCCAGAAGCAACATCTGGGATCTGGTCAACCATTATCATAATTGCAGAAAGTCGCATACGACAGTATCTCACCCAGTGCACGTCCCCAGTGGCTCACCTTGCTCTGCAAGCATTGGATATTTTTTTCCCAATTTTAATTAATTTAATAAGCTAGAATATGGACATATCAACAACTGCAGCGCACTAAGATGTGCACTGCCTCCATTGAAGAACTAATTAGTGACTCAACACTATTCCAATGGAATGCAAGAGGGCTCCAGTCAAACATGTCAGATTTTCGACAATTCACACATCATCATCACTTCCCTATAATTGTGATTTGTGAACCAAACCTTCCAAAAGATTTTAGGCTCTCAGGGTACGAGATTTTCACATCCCTGCGGTCAAATGGACCCAGTCGAGTTATGCTTGCTATACGCAAAGACCTTACATATGTCAATCATCTCATTACACCCCATGCAGACAATGAATACGTATCTGCCACAGTAAGAAACGGCAATCGCTCCTTTTCAGTTATAGCGGCCTACATATCACCACGTGCAAAATTTGATGGCGCGCACTTTGAAGTTGTAATGTACAACTGCGCTCCCCCTTACATCCTGTCAGGCGATTTCAACGCTCACCATCCCATTTGGGGAGGTACGCATATAAACAATCGAGGCAGAAAACTTTTAGACTCTTTGAGCTTACACAGCCTAAACATATTGAACGATAGTAGTCCCACATACCTACGCGGCACTACGTACAGTAGCTGCCTCGACCTAACGTTCGTCTCTCAAGAACTGGTGCCTTATAGCTTGTGGTTTACTGATATCGAAACACGCGGCAGTGACCATATCCCAACTTACACCATCCTGAAGGGATTTTCAAGCCGAAAAATTCGCCACACTATTCGTCGTACAAATTGGCAAGCCTACCAAACATCAATGGAGTCTTTCTGCGAGTCTTCTACTAACCTTCAAGACTTCAGTGCTGCTGTTGCTGTTGCTGCCAAAAGTGAAACCAGAAGCTACAATCTTCCTGCGACCCGGACTGCAATCGATGGCGAGTATGAACATCTACGTGCTAAGCGTCGTCGCTCGGAAAGACGGTACCGAAGGACCAAGGATATGCAGGATCTACGTGAATCTCGCCGCACGCAGAAAAAAATAGGTCGATACCTACAGAAACTAGGAAGGGTCAAATGGAGGACGAATTGCTCAAAGTTAGATCCAAGGAAACCTCTTACGGGAGTCTGGCGTATGGCGCGTGGACAACGGACACCTCAACAGCAACGATATCCGTTCCGTGCTTTATCTCTGCGCCTAAACGTGACTGAGATGGAGGTCGCCGAGAACTTCTGCAGCCGTCTCACCCAACAGCCGGCGGGATCTAATTTATCGTTTGGTCTCATGCAAGCAATCGTGCCACCATCGTCCGACGACAGAATGAATTTTCCCTTTCGGCCAGATGAACTCCAGGCAGCTTTGGCTACAGTGAAGCGGACCTCGACTCCGGGACCCGACGACGTTACGTATAGCGCCCTTGCCAACCTAGGCCCACGAGGTCAAAAACAACTTCTTGATTTGTTCAACAATTCATGGGAAACGGGTCAGGTACCATCAGTATGGAAGAAGGGGCGTATCATACCCATTCTCAAACCAGGAAAGTCGCCTTACGACATATCATCTTATAGACCAATAGCTTTATCAAGCTGCATTGGGAAGCTAATGGAGAAAATGGTAAATTATCGCCTTGAATGGTACCTAGAAAATACCGATCAGTATCCGGACGTAATGTCTGGATTTCGACGTGGACGAAGTTCTTTGGACAACGTCATAGACCTCGTCACCTTTGTAGAGCAGAACAAGAAGGAACGACGAATAACTACAGCCGTCTTCCTTGATGTCATGGGCGCATACGACAATGTGACCCACGAGGCCGTTCTAAATGCGGTAGAGGAACTTGGAATTGGTGGCCGCATGTTCTGCTGGTTAGAGAGCTACCTCACAGGAAGATCTATATATATGTCAACGCTCGACGGAAATACAAGTTCTCACATTCTCACAAAAGGCGTACCACAAGGCGGGGTATTAAGCCCAATTTTGTTTAATATGGTTTTGATAAATCTAATCCGCGAATTACCAACCACGGTACATGCATCTATTTATGCTGATGACATTTGTATCTGGGCGACCGGTGTCACACGTCCTCAGATACGGGCAAGACTCCAAAGCGCTCTAAAAGTTACCCATAAGTATCTCATCGAACGTGGACTTCAAATATCAACTTCCAAATCAGCTGTGATTACGTTTTCCCGCAAGTTAATGGACAGATACCCTATTACTATCTGTGGAGAAAAACTTCCGTACGTCCGGGAGCATACGTTTCTAGGGATAACTTTGGATCGAGGCTTAACATGGACGCCTCATGTATCCCGACTGAAAATGAAGCTGACATCCATAGTGCATTTCATGCGATTCATCAGTGGCACAACATGGGGCGCAACTGTTGGTTGCCTGCAGCGACTGTTCGAAGCCTTCTTCCTCGGACTTCTGAGGTACACCTTACCGGTCATCAACAACACCTGCATTACCAATATACGAGCCCTCCAAAGCATCCAGGCACAAGCTCTACGAACCTGTTTAGGGCTACCCCGCTCTGCTTCCACGCCCGGGACAATTGCGGAGGCTCGCAGGTTTCCAATTGAAGCATACATCATACAAGAGACGCTGCGGTTGCACTTGAGGCACCTTACACAACATTCTCGCCATCACTTAGCAACGTTACCTACAAACAGACCAAAGTCCAGCTTCTCCAGAACGATAAGAAAGCACAATACTACTCTAAATAATTTCAATCGACCATCTATTAAGAACATACCGCCATGGACATTCTTGACTCCAGAAGTAGTGCCGTACATCAAAGGCATTCATAAGAAGTCATCAACTCCACTGCCTGTACTGAAACAACTGGCATTAAGGGTCATTAATGAAACGTACGGCTCGACGACACATGTATACACCGACGGATCCTCTTCTGAAGAACGAGCTGGAGCTGGGATTGTAATACCCGCCCACAGTAGTTTCTCCAGTTTTGAAATAGGACACAAAACGACATCAACGGCATCTGAGTTAGCGGCCATACGAGAAGCACTAAGGTACATCCTACGTCAAGCACCCCAGAACTGGACCATCTTCAGTGACTCAAGACCAGCGCTACAAATAATCCAGTCTTCTATGAAAAATAATGCGTACGACTTTCTGGCATACCAAATCTTCTGCACCTGCCACCGGGCCCTCCAGCAGGGTCATCAAATAGCTCTTCAGTGGATACCAGGTCATTGTGGTGTCGCCGGCAATGAGGCAGCAGATAGTGCAGCAAAATCAACCAGTAACGGCAAGAAAATTTGCATACCCTACTCCAGGTGTGACACGAAAATTCTGGTTCAAGACGTGGCAAAAGCAATTACACAAAACTACTGGATGAATCCACATTACCACCATCCCAGGCTATACTCCCTTGATCCCCAACTTGCATTCCGAGTTCCATCTGGACTTTCAAGACAGCTAGAGGCGGTCCTGCACCGACTAAGGCTTGGTGTGGCATATACACCGCAGTTCCTTTATCGGATTCAAAGGAGAGATTCCTCGAACTGTCAAAGCTGCGAAGTTGAAGGGACAATCCAACATATCCTGTGTGAATGTGATAAATTCGAAGAGGATCGACAAGTGCTGGAAGAGACGTTAATGGCGTTGGACTCGCGGCCTTTCTGCTCATCAAAAGTGCTTGGTGCCTGGGACACAACTGACCAATTCATGAAGGCCACGAAGGCCTTGGTAATGTTCCTCACGAACACGGAATTATCAGACACTTTGTAGGGTGCTTAAAAATGCCTGTGAGATTTTGAACATTTTTACCATTGCTCACCCTCATTGACAACTTCACCTCATCTTTCTTCCTCATCGTCATACCTTTTCTTCCCCCTCCCCCTTCTCCCCAGTACAGAGTAGCCAACCAGAACCTACGTTCAGGTTAACCTCTCTGTCCTTCCTTAATAAACCCTTCTCTCTCTCTCAGGACAATTTTCCTGTTTTGTTCTGACCACATTTGCCGGAGACGTGAGCTCGGAGCGTTGGCAACTGCCCCCTTCACTCGCGCAGTGAAGAACAAGCAAAGGACCAGGGATGCCAAATTCTGAATATAGAAAGATACCCCACTGTATCGAAGCGCCACCACACACGATTTCTCGCTTTGATGTTGCCTGTTTTTTCCAAGGGTTTAGAGAAAGTTATTCATGTTAGGCTTAATAATTTTTGTGAAAAAATATGCTACTTACCGATTCTCAGTATGGTTTTCGGAAAGGTCGCTCTACTCAGCTGGCTCTTTTACAGCAAAAAGAAATTATCTTAAACAATTTTGAAAACAAGTGTCTAACTTTAGGAATATTTATTGATTTTTCTAAAGCCTTTGACCGGCTGAGTCATAAAGTTCTGTTAGAAAAACTATATTCTTACGGTATTCGAGGGCATTCACTGGCTCTTATATAAAGTTACTTGAGTTTCCGGCATCAAACTGTTGAAATAAACGGATATTCCTCAATGGTGAAAGCAGTTCGGACAGGAGTACCTCAAGATAGTGTCTTGGGGCCATTGCTGTTTAACCTATTTATAAATTATATAGTTACTATCACAAGAAAGGCCTCATTTGTCATTTATGCAGATGATACCAGTATATTTTTTTCAGGAAAGGACATTGATAGTTTAATTACCGATGCAAATATATGCCTTGAAGTACTTAGTTGGTGGACTGTCTACAATTCTCTGAAAATTAATGAAATGCAATTATCTTCAAACCGAAAGGTACAGTGTGTAAGGCCACCACAAAATTATTGATGAGTTCCTCGGAGGTTAAGTTTGTAACTACTGTTAAAACATTAGGCGTGATTTTTCACGAACATATGTTATGGGACTCGCATGTTCAAAATCTTTTTCTCAAACTTTCAAGCATCATAGGTATACTATATAAGAATCGCTATATATTACCATCTCGTGTAAAGCTTTTAATTTACAATGCCTTATTTAATCCTCGCATATCATACTGTCATCTAGTTTGGGAAACTACGACAAGTACTAACGTTAATAAATTGTTTTTGTTGCAGAAAAAAGCAATTCGCATCGTCACTAAAGAGTCTTATTGCGCACATACTGAACCTCTTTTTTCTAAACATAAAGTAATGAAAATCAAAGAATATTATAAACATAAGCTAGCAACTATGTACATGGCATCACTTAAATTTCCAAATCATCCATTACGGGAAATATCCAAATTGACTAGCAAAAATATTGCATACGATATGCGCTGCGCCGGAGCCTTGAGAGTACCACGCCCAATAACTAATTACGGTCTACAGATGATTCAGCACACACTACCAACAGTATTGAATTTTTTCAAACAAAAAGGTGTCTGCATTGAAAATGTAAACAAGAATAGATTGCGCGAAATATTATCCTCCCAGTAACATACTTTTGGTGTAATGCATAAATGTTCTTTTTTTTTCTTTCTTTTTTTTTCTTTCAAATGACCTAATTGTAACCCGCTGACCGATCTGCCTGTAGGGGGCAGGGGCTTCGTCAAGCTGCATTTCTGCAGCTTTTTCTCCTGCCTCCATCGCCCATTTTTTGTTATGGGAGTAAATAAAATGAATTGAATTGAACTGAATGCACAGGCCTGGAGGGCGATTCCACTGCCATCTGTTGGCTCAGAATCACACTAACCAAGGGTGGGATTGCACCTTAAGAAGACGACAGTTGAATTATACCCGTGCCACACGCACACGCGCAACTAGAATGCCATTTACAACGAATGGCATTTGTGTGATCGGCGAATCAGCTCCCAATCTGTCGAGCGTGGAATGCGCTACCCCCGAAGTGTCGCGCGCTGATTGGCCGTCCGCTCAAATGTCATTCGTTGCAAATGGCATTTGAATTGCTCGTGTGGCACGGGTATAAATCGCGATCGGCGTTTTGTTTACCAGACGCTTATGGCAATTTTCTTTGTTTTGTTTACTAGACGCTTATAGCAATCAATTCAGTAGAACAAAATCTTTTATTTCTGTACACCCCCCCCCTTTCCTATCAAACAATTCCACCACCCCTAGCTACATCGTTCAAGTGTGGCGATTTCATTTGAACCCTTAAGGAATTGTGATTGGACAACAGATTGCACGGGACCATATGGGCTGCGTTTCAAAGATTTTTAATCTCGCCACAAATGCACGGGCGTGCATTTGTGAACAAGAGCGACATTCTTACGATCTCAGGGGATATTGGTGACTTCTCATTCCTTGCGCAGCGTGTAGAGTTTTGCGAATTATTCCAAATCGAGTGTATTTGACTCCCAAATAACACTCAAATGCACACCCTTTGTATAAGTGTACGTTAAAAAAAAACTCACACCCGGTGAGTTTTTTTTTTTTGTTTTTTTGCCAAAAGTATTTTATGTCATATTTAGCTAAATAATGATTTATTTATTTATTTATTTATTTATTTATTTATTTATTTCAAAATGCTGCGACCTGTATGAGGTCATGGCAGGAGTGGAAAGAAAACATACATATACATTCAAAAAGGCCAACGAATAAAGATACTGTATTACTCGGAAATCTTGTTATTCGCATGTAGGTATTCTAATACCCCATTGCGAATCAGCCCGTGCTCTTAGGTCGCGAGAACACGCCACGCGCGGAAGGTCTTCAATAGATTGGTCGCAGAGGATAAAGGTCCCTTAGCTAAAGGTACCTTTACGGTCGTGTGAATGGGGTATAATACACATTAGTCTATTTTCTTTTTAAATGTCTCCACTTTGAATGTTTTTGAATTTAAATGTTTATCTATTGTGTTTTGTGTGTATGTTTAAGCCTGAAGTTAGTCGGCCATAACGAGCGACTTGTCTCCCAGCTGTACATGAGTAATTTAGCCATGTACAGTAGAGCTCCTGGGGTCTTTTACGTGCACTACGCAGTGGTGATACACGACCGCACGCCGGTACGATGCTAATGCTTATCTCGGTCTATTTATTTAGCGATCTTTTTTTTCTCATTTACGTTTACTCATTTATTTTTTTACTTTCAAAACTGCAACAGGCACCAAATCCGTCCCCTTAGCCATAAAGTTTCGAGACCTTTGCACCAGAATCACTGAATAGGTTTCCTATTCAGAGACTCCCATTTAGTGTCCTATTCAGGCACACTACTCGCTGACCTTGCACGCAACGTCTTTTCACCATGCCGGTGTGCATTTTGCTTCTTGAAAAAACAAAAAAGAAAAGCCATAGGACACAGTTTAGGCTGCAAAAGACACGTGCCCAAGGCCACCACAATGACAGCAGGTGTGACGTCATTGCAGGCCGTCGAACCGCCGTTGTACTCCCACGGCTTCCTGGCCTGCCCAGCATTCCTTGCTTTAGACACTGAGCCAAGCGACGCGACCAGTGTAGTAGCTCACGTTTGAACTATGCAGCCCAATGTTTCTCGCTTCAGTCGCTACACGTGTTCATGCACCTGAACACCGTTACAGTTACACGTGTTCACGCCCGTGCGCGAGATAAACGAGCTTCCCTGTATCCATCTTTTCTAGCGGATGCTCGCTTGTCAATATTCGTCGGAGTGCAAAAGACTTCTACTCTGTTTTCAATTACGCTTCGGCGTTTTCGTAACTGCAGTGCATTCTGCCGAACCGCTCATTCACACTGGAAGCGGATCCGCGTTCGCAAAGCGGTTGCGAACGCGGTTGTATAAAGATCCAGTACAATTGCACGCGCAATCGATGGCATCAAGTGCGCGTGCAATTGCACTGGATCTTTATACAACCGCGTTCGCAACCGCTTTGCGAACGCGGATCCGCTTCCAGTGTGAATGAGCGGGAAAAGTCGTTGCACCAGAGCGGATGCTTGCCAGCCGGTGTCAGCGATTCACTGTTTACGATCGACTCCCAGTCTCGATGGTGAGGGACGGTTCTGCCGAAAACCAAGAGAGCAATGACAACACGTGCACTAGAATATTGACGTCATCCCAGCGAGATCGATCTCAGTCACAGATTGGACACGAATGTTATGTCAACGTTCGGATGGGGCTAGTGCCCAATCAACGCATCTAAAGATGCCGGGCATTGCGCTCAGGTCCAATAGACCTTTTTCGGAAATATGTGGCGTCCCCACAGTCTGCTTGACGCACTGTGACGCTCCGACGTATATCTAAGGCACGCAAGGATATCCAGGAATCGCAGACGAAGTTGACGTTGGTTTAATATTTTCTGATTTCAGAACACATGCTGAGAAGGCAGAAGGATAGCCAAACAGGGTATGCGGTAACCTCATTTTGTGTTCGCTTTATTTCTTGCGCTCTGCGGCACGGGCAGTTCAGGCGACTCCCTCGCGCATCTCGGCGAAGAGATAAAAACAATCGCACACAATTCTACATATGCGACTCGGACATGGCGGCCGGGGGTGGAGTGGGGGAAGGGGGGGGGGGGGGGGGGGGGGGGGGGGGGGGCTGCAGATCTGCTTTTACCGGACTTCGAGTCTCGCACAATCACTTCTTGCGCAGCACCCGAAATCGTCACGCGGCAGGACTCCGCGAACATTTCTTCTGCTTGGCCGTAGTTCAACAGATATTTATGCGGCATAGTAAACTTATGCACCGACCACATTTTTTCTTCTTCTTTTTTCTAGGTAATCTAATAAAACGCGTGAAGAAAGAATGACACTCAAGGCCCGTATCGAAAATGGCATCGTCTATTCCCCATACCCATCGGAACCTGTGCCGGAAATGACGCTTTACCAGGTGGTGAAACAGTCCCTCGAGCAATATGGCTGCCGAACTGCTCTGGTAAGCCTGACAACATATGCTCACTGTAACGGTGCCTTTGTATATATAGGGTGTCTGAAATACCCAGGCACGATCTAAAATGAACCGTAACAATAAACGCCTCCACGCAGAATTGGGAAGTAATCCATTACAAGTAACTGATTATTTGTAATCCGTTCTTTTTCAAGTAATTTTGTAATTGTTACGTTAATTCTTCTGCGACCGTAATTTGTAATGCAATTTCGTCACAAATATTAGTAACGGATTACTTTAGTTACTCGTTCACTTTTCTTAAAATATGAACATAATACAGAAACTAGAGCGATATGAGCAGTCGATCCAGCAGCATATAGAGAGAGCAAGTTCAACAAAAGAATAACCGAGAAGAAAACACGATTTTTTTATGACCGGTCACTTGAACCGCTGGAATAGCGTGCAAGGCATATACAAATATGCGAAAAAACAAAGATCAAAAAGTCAATGCCGAGTAGGCGTTGTCTTTTGATCTCTTAGCGGAGGTAGATGATGCTACTGAACATGATCGCCGCTAGCTTTCTTTGCGGAATTGCAGGTATCATTTCCAGTTAACAGAGTGCGCCTACATTATTTCCCTTAAGTACAATATCTTATTTTTACAATGCCTACCATAATGCGAGCGTGTGCGAAAATGGAAATCAACGCTGCAAAAATATTTTTTTTAAAACATCAAAATTATTTTTATGGTTTTCTTGACAAGTGCAGAAAAGTAACGTGAAAGTAATTTGTAACGCAACGAGTAATCCGTTATTTTCAGCCAACGTAATTTGTGACGGTAATTCATTACATTTGAGGCTCCGTAATTCGTAACTGTATTTGTAATCTATTACATTTTCCAATTAACGGGCAGAAGTCTGCCAGCACGTAGCAATCTAAACTTTTTGTCAGAGGTGTATTTCACATGTCCGTATTACCATGGAAAATTACAAAGCGTAGCTTTCTTTATGTATAAAAAACAGGGCCAAAGAACTAGCCAGGGTAAACGGCAGACGGTGATGCATATGATCGAATCGAGTGGCGGGGTGCGTTTGGCTGTTTGGCGCACGTATTGATAGATGCCGTCAGCTATTAGCGATGTGCGCGGCCAAAAGCGTCGCTGTGGTCGGCTTTCCACGATTGGCCAAACCATGGGCATATGAGCACTGTCAGATTGTCAACTTTGACGGTGTTAGTTTCGGATTGCAATGGCTCCTAGCTTCTACTGTGCTTTTTAAACACACCATCGAACTCGTCGTCGCCTTCGATTGTAAGTTGCCAGAATAACAACTGGTGACGTCACGGCAAGGCAAATCCAAATCGTGATGTCATGGAGGGAAACCATAAGAGGGCGCCATCGAAACATCTCGGCGCTAATACTCCGTTTCACCTTATGTTGTACCACAGAGAAGGCTAGAAGCACGAGCTCATAGCGTTGGGAGCTGCTCTTAACGCACGAGAGCTTGTGCCGCCGAGATATGCCCTAGAGCGAGGAGCTCGCGCTTGTACCCTTTCCTGCGGTACATCATAAGGTGAAACAGAGTATAGGAGCAGCGTGCAAAGGTGTAGCTGACCAGTGAAAGAAAGCGGACGAAACGTACACGAAATCCGTCGGCAGCAAGAGCGCCTTTGGTGCCGTCGTTATGCAACGGCATTTTATTTTATTTTTGTTACTTTAAGCTTTTCTATCGTTGCCCGCTTTTAATTTTAAACCAAAGGTACCCTAGAAAAAATATTATGTTCATTTTATAGACCACGGTCGGTCGCGAGCAGTCTCAATAAGGGGGTAGCGCCATCTATCAATACGTGCGCCAAACGTGACCCATCACTCAACTCTGTCGTCTGTGTCGCCGTCAGCCGTTGACCCTGGCAAGTTTTTTGGCCTTATTTTCCGCAGAAAGGGAGATACGCTTTGTAATTTTTACAAGATAAAACCAACCTGTTATTGCGGTTGCGGATTAGCGAGTCACGAAGGCTGTACAGACTGAACAATTACTTCAGGTACTTGAGACAAACACCACATTTTCCCCACACAAATGTGATATCCGCCCAAAGTTCCAGTTCACACTTGCGGCGAATAGCGCGCGGGAGGACGGTGCACTGTTGGTAGGTACCGACGTAGTGGTGCCAAGCTGCTTGCCCTTCTGTGTTGCCAGAAGCCTGTATGCTTGATATTATTGCTGGTTGAAACGGGTTTGGCAGTTCCGAAGGCCGGAGGTAAAACATCAACTCTGCCTTCCTGTACAGAAAATGGTGTCTTCGCCTTGTTCAGCGTCGGGCCGGATATGTTCTTGGCCACGACGCCAAATGACAGTGCCATAGTCGTGCTCTACCTGCAGCTTGTAAGAGACGGGTCTACTCCTCGATAGAGTGGTGTCCTTCAACCACTTTTTCCATGGTCAGCAATTCAACACTCGAACTTGTTCGCCAGCCTGGAGCTCTCGCGCTCGGAACCTTGTTTAACCTGCAACTCCCCCGCCCGGAACAGATGTCTGGCTCCGTTTCCTTCCACGGACGGCTTGACAGCGTCTGACGACCTTGTACTGAGACATCTCCCCAACAGCAAAACAGCTGTTGGCTCTCCAGTTGTTAAATGTGGTACATTGTAGTAATATACTAGAAACTAGTTCAAAGTTTGTTGCATGGACTTGGAGGCCATTCCCTCGCGCAACGCTGCCTTGAGTGTCTGCACGAACCTTTCTGCTAACCAGTTACTTCTTGGGTGATACGGTGCCGTCAGAACGTGGCGCGCTCCACTACCCTTCAGAAAACCTTTAAACTCTTGCGACGTGAACTGGGTACCATTATCTGAAGCCAATGTATCCGGACTTCCAAAGCGTGAAAACAGTTCTTGCAGCTTTTCAATCGTGCTGAACGATGTTGCCGACTGCATTACGAAAACCTCGGGCCACTTGGAGTGAGCGTCCACGACTACCAAAATCATTTTTCCTCCAAAAGGTCCAGCGTAGTCAATGTGGACACGCTGCCACGGCTTCGTAGGCCAAGCCCAAGGATACAACGCTGCCCGAGTTGGCAGGTTACGCTTCACTTGACACTGTTCACATGCTTTCACGTGGAGTTCAACATCACTGTCCACCGACGGCGACCAGAAGTAACTCTTGGCGTGTTCCATGGCACGTACAGTACCTGGCTGCCCTTCGTGGATCTCTTCTCGCAGCAAATTCCGTAACTTCTCCGGCGCTACGACTCTCAGTCTCAACCTGAGGCACACGTGGTGTGACGTCCCTCAGCGTACATAGTGGTGGCCTTACTAATGAGGTAAGGCCACCTTCTGGAACCGTCTGAATATGCATTTCGCAAAATCTAGTTTGTTTTTATCGGCAAGAACGAATAGGTTTGGTCCCGAGTGACAACCAGTACGGGGAAGTGACGTCACGTTAAGGTCATGTATGCCCCTGCAGCACGGTGAAAGGGTCGGGCATGCAGCGTCCTTGGCGATGCGTCAGTATATACTTCGTTTCAGCTTCGGTCCGAGCGCGGCCGATGTTATGAGCCGAAGGGCCAATCAAACAGCGAAAGAGGCACAACGTCATGGCGCGCTTTCTGCAATTGATAGGACCAGCCGGTATTCGCCGTTTCTCTGTGCGTGCTCCACTGCCGGCTAGTTCTATAAAGCGCAGAGAGCACGCCATGACGCTGCGCTTTTTGCGTTGTATGATTGGCCCTTCGACTCATAACATAGGCCGCGCTCGGACCTAAGCTGAAACGAAGTATAGTAAGAGTGGCACGCGCTATTTGACCGATCAGATAGTAGGTTCGTTCGAGTCGCCAGAACTGGCTGAACTATTTCAACCTGGAGCATTTGATTCAACCGGAAGTTTTCACGGTTGCTGCACTGGCGCGTTCGATTCATATCAGGGGCCCTAATCTGGACACTTGGCGCAAAAGTCGGCGCGAAATCTGGCGGCTGTGATTGGCCAACGCCGCACTTGACCTTGGCGCCGGCCAATCAGAGCCACCGGATTTCTCGCCGACTTTTTCGCCAAGTGTCCAGATTAGAGCTCCAGTTCTGAACGAGTTGAGACCCAGTTCCTCAAAACCTTGCACCGGCTCCGAAGTCAGTTCAGCGTCCGTGAAGAAGCAGACGACGAAAGCAGATGCCATCGGCTTTCGTCGCCTGCTTCTGCATCCTGCTCAAATGTCTGCAATGTTGGACAATAACGCCGAGTCGGGGGTTATAGTTTCTCTCAAACTAATGTACCCACGGGGGACGCGGAAGCGGGATCCTAAGTGGGGTAGAAATTAGCTTAAATATGATATTTTAAAAGCGTCTTACGACCTGGTCGCGCAGGCGTGGCTCCCTGTAGTGAGTGTCTGAAAATAGTGAGAAGCCAAAGAACAGTTGCCCAATAAAAGCTGCCTAGCACAGAAAATAATAATCATAAAAAAAATCATAGCCCAGATACTTTATTCTTTGCGTTTTGAATGTTTTAACCGCTCGTAAAGATGAACGACGGGGTCATTTTTATACCGTGAAAAGACGTGTCTATCAGCACTATATGCGCTTTACACATGCGCCAGAATACAGCCGCCATTGCTGACATTCTCTTGTTTTACCGAGATACCGAGCCACTGAGATTGGTGTGGACGAGCCTCCACAAAGGCCAATGCTGCGGAGCAAGACAGAATAAAATATAAGATGTCAATAACCTGGCCTGCTACGGTAATAATGAAGTGAAGTAAACGTAATAAGGGGGAACAAAAACTGAAGGTCAGCTATGGCGGCACCCATGCACAGCTGTTGCAAAGCGTCTATATAAGCGCGACCGGAATTCTGGCGAGCCTTGAACACACTCTGCATCACCTTCGATTGCTATTTGGCTTAGAATCGTCAGTCGTTTTTCTATACCTGCTATGGAACAAAGGTTTGGGCTTGAAATATAGAGAAGGTAAACATCGTTCATTGATGAAGAAAAAAGGTGTAACTAAAGCAATTACATTTATACAATGTTAACAAAGGTACATACTATTCGATATAGGACCCAAAT